ACAAATCGTACGTACAATAAGAATCTACAACGTGGTCATTGTAATAATATTACACACGGAACCGTAAATGTTATTTTTAAACAGTACGGCTTTCAGTCACGCCATTTCCCTATTATTATCAACAATCAACAATAAAAAATAACAGTCGGTAATAGTTATTAAACGACCATTACTTTGTTGTATTTTTTTGTAAACTTAACTCCTCCTCCGAAATTTGTCATAACACCGATTATAGACTAATAGAACGGCCGCAGTAATCATTATTAGCTTTATATTTTATTATATTATGAATTCTTCTATCGTTATTTATCTTACAATAGGAAATAAGTTTAACGATAACAACTTATTGTTTAAATAACATCAATGTTTGAGTATTTAAACTATAAAGGTTAATAATTTAAGTTGAAACAATAACGTAGGAATAATAATATCGACTATCGAGAATCAAGACAACCATGATACTATTCGATTTGAGAACGGGTCCGGAAAAAATACTTTAAAATTCCTTACATAATTGTAAAGGGTAAAAACTTGGTAGTTTACTCGGGCGTAATCAATGTATCCATGGCGAACAGTTGGAAAGAAATAGTCTGTATTTTTTTTTTTTTTATTTTATCTTGAAATGGATTTGTATTTAATTAAAAAGATAATAATAATAATGATAAAAAAATACAGTGGTAAAATGACGTTGAGTTAGTCAATATTTTTTTCTCTTGCAATATTCACAAATGAAAACGTGTCGGCTGAGTCTAAATGCCCAATGGCAGTGAAACGAAATCAATTTCCGATATAAAAGTCACTGTTGGATATAATAAGTTATTATTAACGAAAAGGGAACGTAGGTAAGGTATAAGGTAGTTGATAACAAATGTCATTTTTCTCATTGCCGGCACCAGATTGTGTGACATTTGGTGACTGGGTGGGTATAGAACCCGAACGGCGGTCGAGGGGGACAGGAAAAAAAGTAAAGGTTAGTCTACAAAAGTTCATGTATCTAAGGGCGGGGGTGGGTTTTTTAATCAAACTGTCGTTTCTGCGGTGGGGTGGCATCACTACCACTACCAACAGTGTGGTAATAATCGACCGTGACTCCGAACAACGTCATACGGCCTCGCTGCCATACAACCGTATAGGATAATCTCTTGCGTCCTTTCCGGCCACGCTGAGAAATACCAAATGAATTACTATCTCTCGAAAACCTGCAGCTCCTCACGCCACCGCCACACCGCTCTTTTTTTCCCGCTGCCGTCACAGTTGCCGTGTGTCTCTTTTAATTAATTGATCTCTCAGACTCTGGTAAGACCCTATATTTTTTTCTACCCTCTATCTCGCCACTTTGACTTTTCTTCTTTTCCCATCCGCATCAATCTGCTCGCGCAGCCACCCGTCCACCATTTCGTCCATCGGTGGTAGGAGTTACACACCAGCTCCAATTAGATTTACGAACGTCTAACGTTTTGTCACCCACTGCAATCGCGCCACGGCGGCAGCTTCTATTCTCCCCACTTCCCACTACCATATTCCAGCCACCCGTTAATCGCCTCACATCACATATACTGCAGCATTTCGATTTCAAAAACACCACCATCACTTAATCCAATCACGAACTGTCCTCCACATATTATTATGAATTGCTGTAAATTGCGGTCCGAGAAATAGTAAAATTCCTTAAACCGAAATACGAAATTTGTCTGTTTTTTATAATTTATTGCTGCATCAATCAAAATTAATTTGTCCACAACAAAATAATAACAAGAAATGTATTACTAATATGACGTGAACTTTTAAAAAACAGTTGTTTGTCTTAACACTCAATTATAAAATTATGAATTACTGATATAAACTCGTATATTATAAATAGTATTGTGTATATAGAATTAAAAATGTGTTAAATTGAAAAATATTAATTTTTAATAAATTAATATAATATTATTATTGAAAAAATATCATAAATTCATAACTATATTGGTGAGTAATACCTACAATCTATGATAACATACATTTATATAATAGGTATTTTTTTTTCTTCAGCTTAAGAGGCCGCTTATACCTATCAATGCAAAACCCACTTTCTTCCCTATATCTCTCTCTATCCAGTACTACCTCCCTATGGTTTTCCACTTTTAGATTTAATAGGCTTTTTGATACTTTATCATGCATAATCATCGTTATATATGCCTTTCTAGAGACCTCATTTCTCGTGGTTCCTAATTTAGTACTTTATTTCGATCGTGTTAGACCTTGGTATGTGACCCAGCTTAGTATTTTGGCTTTAATTACCAAAATTAAATTTGGTTCTCCAAATACTAATTCATTATTCATTCAATAAGTATTTATTTAAAAAAAATATGTACAAGTTACCTACAGTATCTAATTGGACTTTTCAATATTTTTATATTTCAAAATTATTTTTTTTTATTTCTATCATAATATTATATTTATGAAAACCACATATTATTGTTTTTTTTTTTTTCAAAGTTTTTGTATTTAAAAATGTAATAAAATAGTTTTATAAACTCTGTACTAAGTACCTACTGCTAGCTAGTAGTATAATATTATACATAAAAAAAAGGAAAACACACTTAATAGAAAGTTTATATTCTTGTTATTGGGTTCTAAAAAAAAAACCGATTCCAACATACTATAATATATACCTAACACTATACTATCAATTTCAATGTATATATGTTTTCTGTCTACGGCATTCAATCACTTGGACATGCTACAAGGTCTCTTCAAAATCAATCTATTATTTGTGTCCATTTCAGGTTGGCCACTGATTACAAATGAACCGTCAATCCATGGTTGATAGCACAATTCAAACGTATAGTATATACAAAGTTCACAATTCCCACAAAACTTTTAGAAAGGCTTCTTTGATAACATTAATTAAACCGATCTCAGTGCATATACAATACAGTTGAAAATCTACCGTACTTACAGATAATTTATAATTTAAAATGAATCGTAAGTACCTACTATATGTAACTGTATTTTTTTTATTGATTTATATAATAATATAAACAGTGCGAAAATCCAATAGGTTATTAGTTTTATGAGTGAACGTATCATATCATACCGGGTGATATTTTGTGCATTCTATACCCAACGGAGAGGACGTCTTTATAGTACTTAAAAGTACATCGACATTTCATTATTTCATTATTTTTTTTAAAGGCTCTTAATAAATCAGTCATAACAACGCACTCATCTGATGAATAACCACGGAGGGGGTAGGTTCTAAAGAATCGCCGACGAGGCGCTTCGACGGCTGTGTACTCGAACGTATTAAAATCTTCGGCGGCATTTAATAATGGTATTATTCCACGCTGGTAATAGACTGTGAAGTGAAAACACTCGTGAGTAAAAAAAAAGACAAGTCGCAGTTTCCAAAACTGAACAGAGAGGAACGATGATTGAAACGCGCGAGGGGTGACGAAGGGTGGTAGGGATGGTAATCACTGAGGCTATAGCGAGAGGAGGAGGAGGAGAAGAAGAATAAGAAGAAGAATATAATATACGACAGCGAAGAAAGAAACGGTCGGCGGGTGTGGAGGTGGGTGGGGATCAAACCGGCCGGAAAGTCGCCAGTCCGTCATGTGAAGAAATTCTCACGACGACGATGAGACGCGCGTAGTATTGTATATACCCGAACGCAGTGCCAGAGTGGCGGCTGCCAGCCGGGTCTTTACTTAAACGAGCTAATCTTACTTACTACTCCCCCCCACATCAACTGGTCCATCATCACCACCACCCACCTGACCTAACGAGGAATCACCCACCCCCAACTCTGGGGCTATTGAATTGCAATCGAAGTGACGCCGGGATGGTAATACTATATAGGTTTTTGCGCATGGTTACGTACGGTGTATTATATTAATATATAGGTACACCTACTCGGTTTTCTCTCGCATTCTCATTTAATGATTTTTTTTTCGCTTCACATTGGTCGATATCCAAAAATAAATATTTCAAGGCATCTGCAGGTCGCGTGATCGCGTTCTATATATACTGAGGTTTTATTCAAAAACGCGAAATCGCCATCGGCCGTTTAAGCGGGTATAAACGTTATTTATTTCGAACGCGGATTACAGTCTCGATTTTGGGTTTACGAATCTTATTCTATTATATATGATGAGGCGTGGTGGCGTTGTATATAATCCGATTCCCGGCAAAATGGCCATCCCAGCTCTACCGACGAGTATATAAATACTTTACGAAAGTGACACGAGAACGAGGAAAAACATATTCGTCGTTTCCTACTCGTCGTCTTGTCATCTCCCTCGGCTATCTTTATTATAATAATATATAAGCTGGTATTATGTAATGTTATTAGCTCATGCATAGTTGATTTACCATTATCGATTTTGGTACACCGACGGGAACAAACGAGCTTAACTATAATCCGCAATCAAAAAACGAGAGACTATACGATTGGAAAACAAAACATACTGCCGTTTGTATAGAATTATATTAATATTATTTTTTATTTTTTTTTTTGGTTTCCATCGACATCATTATTTTGTCATATTCAATATAAAAACCTTCCGAGATAGCAATCGGGAAAATATTGTATTTTTAAATAGGCAATTTGCAAGTACAAAAAAAAAAAGCATTCGAAAAAATAAAATGGGATTACCAATGTTCATTTTGTTCCTTCGCAGAATGTATAATGTAAATTTTATCTGATGGATTTTGATCTTAAAATAATGTGATTTTTTTTTTATTTCAACTTAAGATATATTAGAAAAATGTGTATACATATCATATTATACATGTACAACTTTTTTTTAAAACAATATTATTGTATTTTTAAATGGATACAACGAGCTTAAGGAAACATTCAAAATAATGAATCGATTAAATTAACTTTCACACCAATAAAATTCAAACAAATATTTTCCATTAATCGAAAACATTGTGCTCGTATTATCTTTATGCTCTCGAGTCTTTGAAATCTTAATATTAAATTTAAAAAAAAGAAACGGAGAGTTACTTACTTTTTTGCCGTCCAACTCGTGTGATCCTTGTGCCAGAACTTTGTCCACGCTGGACGGATCTGCGAAAGTCACGAATCCGAAACCCCTGTAAACAAAATTATAGTTTTTAAAGTCCGTCAAGTATATTTTTGGTAAAAATCTAGAAAATCTATATAATGTCTGTATTTCCTTCAGCTCTCCTCCTCAATTTAACCCCATGCAATTTAATTTTAATAGTAATCGCTTTAATAAGACATTATCTAAACAGCAGCTGCCTGGTGTTTAATACTGAGATTTTGATTTAAATAAATTGAAATACTCAGACTTTTTATTTTGAGTAATATACATTAACATTGTATTTATACACACATACATTTCATTTTTACAGAAAACAATCTTCCTCAACGATCTTATATTTCTGTGCAGGTATCGCATTGTCTATTCAATTAGTATTTCTCATAATAGGGTACGAAGTAATAATGATTAAATCATAATTAGTTTATTTCAAATTTTGATTCTTTGTCTTTATTTTTTAAATTATTATCGTTCTATATTAATTTCTACTTTTTTTTAATCATGACGTCATATTGATATTTATTGTATGCACACTCTTTCTATAAATCATATATGAATATGCATTTTATAAACTCTTTGCTGTACAGTCTAGTAGTCTACACATATTCATATCAGCTTTGAATTTTAAACATTACATTTTCTTACGACACAGCAGCTCTTTATTATTTATACGTACACCAGTTAATCTCAGTTATGATATTTTGTCGCACGATATACATGGAAACTATTTTAATTTCATACACCTACATATTATTAAATTTAAAACATCTTCCATAATTCCTTCATTCCCTCACGTAATTTACTTTGAATATTTAATCTTTCACACCGTGATTACGGGCTATCATTCCTTTGATTAAGTCTTTCATGTAACTAAAATCGTGTTTCATACACTATAACTAACTTCATTTCATATTCAAATAAAACGCTCAACGAATTATTCACTAAAGTTTTGTTTTGCGTTCTATACCAGTTTTATTAATAATCTGCTACTTTATGATTTAAGGCTTTTATCAGAAATATTTAATATTTGTTCTAATAACAATAGGTAATATATTGGTATATAAGTAAATAAAATTATACGAATTTAAAAAGTATAAAATTCAAGCTTAAATGCAGTTAAAACAGAATATAAAGATAAATTATTTCTACAGAAATACAAAATATTGACAGTGACATGTTAAATTCAAAAATATTATCCTATGAAACAAGTAGTTTTAAAAATGTTACAATATAGGTAAATAAAACGGTTATAGGACAGAAACAAGACAAACATGAACTATTATTACTTTATAGTTTATTGTTAGTTAATATCAACACCAATTAAATTAAACTGTAATAAATTATATTTTGTTAGGCAAAATGTGCATTATATTATTAGGTATGTGTAAATTAGTTAATATTTTTGTACATAACATTACGGTTAAAAACAAAACCTTGTAAAATATGGTATTATATAATATTTTACATTGGTATTTAAATTGTTTTTATAAATCAACTAGTTGTCAAATTAACCAAAAATTCTTGTAGTCAAACTACAATTTAATTTCTAAAATAATCATAATATACATTTTGTGATCAAAATGTTTAACCATGTTATTCCTTTGATATATTAAATCTACGAAAAAAATATTTTCTAAGCTTCACCTATTTTTAAAATATGTTTAGGATACAACTGATACAAAAGATCTTTAAATATTATATTATCTGCTTGTGCATACTTTCAATGTTTAAAATAATTGATAAATTAATTTAATTGACTTTCTCAATATTTTTAAACCACCAATAATGTTACGTTAAAATAACATTGTATCTATGTGTTATTGGTGGTATACTATGTAACTTATTTTCATAAAATCGAATCAATATAATTTAATTTATTTTAATTCATTAAGTATATGTTGATATAGATAATAAATCACGTTTATAAATAACGATATATGAAGAAGAAAAAAATGTTTGTATCAATAAACCTACTCAAATCTGGTACACAATAATTTCAGTAGAATTAAATGTATCGAGTAGTATATTTAAAGTGAAATAATAATCTGTTCAATTATTTTTGAAATGTTAAGTAGGTACATAATCTTGATTCTTTGGCATACTGATACATTTAATATAATATCATTGAATAATAATCTGTTACTTTAACTTATGAACTTGGTGGTTGATAACGAAATAGTACCTATATAATAATTCAAAAGCTGTGATTCGTATTCTAATAATTATTATTATCCCGTCTCCACCCCTGACCACCCAACCTTATATAATCGACTATTATAGCTGATGGCGGTTGAGGTCTCATGATGTTTTGTGGACTACAACAGCGAAAACTGTGCGAACAGCGAATCCTGCAGCTGCAGAGGGATTCCATCCAAATAACGGACCGACGTTACAAAGTGGGCGTGAATTCCGTGTCGTCATAAAAACTGACCGCTGTCGGCGTTAGCGCGTGGTACGAGCTTGTGCTCGGTCAGTGCAAAAAGTAAAGGGCTACGCGGCAAATCAAACGGCGGCGAGATGTATAACATAATATATAGGACGCAAAACCGTATATAATAAAGGGTTCTGGCCTTAAATCATACACAAAGGGGAACGTGGGGGGGCGGAGAGGATGCGACACCGGAGGTAGGTTGGCGGCGGGGTTTGTGCTGGTGAAGAGAGTAGAACGTGGGTCAAGGGGGTGCGAGAGGGTGCGAGAGACTTGTGCAACGGTGGCAGAACACACGCGAGGAGCTGCAGCAAACGGGGCGAAACGGTTGATTTATGTTCGGTTTTAGCATGGAACGTATTATTTGTGAAAACGTTACCACCGTCGCGGAAACCGTTCCCGCGCATCCGAACTAGATTACGTGGTAACTTGGCGCGCTATTAAATTCGAACACCGCCGCAAAATCCCTTTTACTCCTTACTCCCCCGCCTCCACCCCCCAAAAAAGTACCCCTCCTACTTGCCACCGATCGTTTTGAACACCACCACTCGGGGGCAACAACGGCCGTCCTTATAATAATAATAATACATACGTTACGTATATCATATGTGTGTATATGTATGTTAACTAAAACGTATACACGACCCCCTTTGTCGCCCACCCTTGTGATAACCAAAAAACCAGGTCAAAATATTATCATATAACTATTATTATTATTATCATCATCATCGTTATCTCTATTATTATTATTACGTGGTGGTACACACATACACAATTTATTATAATATAATACATATTATCTTTACGTACACAAAAGTGTTTCTTTTTTACTCTAATATAGGATTATTAAATGTTATATAGATACTCGTGTACATCGTTTCTGGTACAACCGTGTATGTAAGAATATAATTTTATGAGGTCCAGTGCGGTGTTGCTTGTACACAGGCCGCCATAATAATATACAATATTATATGATATAACATTTATGGACTTTTTCAGTCGACGATAAACTCCACGTGGAATATTATTAAAACCCGTTTGGACTCTATACGTACCTATTATATTTTATTGAAACATTGACTCATTCAAAAACCGCCACCTGAGTGGTTGTAAATGCAGCTAGGGTCGAGAAACGCTTTCTTAAAAATGCCCTGTAGTGTTTTTATAATATAGTATTGTACACCAAATTATTTACGTTTTTAATTCTCGTTAAATGATTTCTAGTAGCTTATCGACCGTACTAAGTATAGCTATAATTATATACTAGTATACGCATTACGTACGTTTTTAGATTTAGTTTCTACAGTCAAGTTTGAAAGCTTATTATTTTATTTTTTAACATTTGACATAGCTGTTGTATTCCCAAACTTGAATATTTATTTATAAAATTTATCACAACAAGAATAATTGTTCTAACTAAATATTCAGTATTAAATCAATTTTTTTTTTAATTTTACAATTATTATTAATGATTTAACGTTTGGTATTTCAAAAATAATTAATCAGATGGAGCAACAATATAATATAAATATTAAAATAATTGTTATAAAGCACTACTATAATACTATTAAAACCTGGGATTGAATTTATAAACTAGCTTATGAAATATTTTATGATCGGATTTTCAAGGAATAATGTCAGAAGGAACAACAGAATAACGATATTTTATGAATGAATTATAAATATTAAGTAACAGAAACAACACTTATACTAATAATAAATCAAGGGAAACAACGTCATAGAATTTTTAACTCTACAAGACAAGACACTTAATACTAATTGCCATTGAAAAAAAGAACTGTATCACAACTAAAAAGTATTTGTGTCTTGATACAAAATATTTATAAGCAAAAATCCATTTATAGTGTTTTCTATCTCATATACCTGTAAGACTCCACTGTTAGACGTATACATCAATATAAGAGAATTAGTTAACTACAATTATTGTAAAAAATAAAATAACACCTTCGCAATACTTCCGATTTTTATGAGTAAGCAAGGTTAGACGACCACGTAATTTTTTTTTCAATTTACGTTATATCACCTAACGTGGTCAGCAGCTTAAATAATTATTGAAAATAAATATTTTCCCTTTGTATAAGTTAACTTCATTAAAAATAATTTAAAAAAAACATTGAAAGATTGTATTTAATTAAACTCTCTTAAACATACCTATAAGTGTCAAAGTCATACATACTACTCATAATAATAATTTAAAACCTGTAAAAATTTGCCTAATAATATACCTAAATCAGTATCAAAGTAGTATAGTGATTAGAGTTTTGTTCAAAAATATTCATATAAAAAAAATTCCCTCTTAGATGATCTGTTTTATTTTATTTTTTGGAAACCCCATAGTGTACATGCCATATATTATAAGAATTAAATTTAAATTAATTATCATATGAGTAAAAAATAAGTTATCGGAACCGGCAATAATTAAAAACAAAAATAAAAAACAAAAACATGCACTGGCAAGAATATAGATAATATTAGATCACGCAAAGTATATAGATGTTACTTTTACGCCAAGTACAACGTAAAAAAAATGTAATTAGAAAAACTGGTAATTTGGTAACATTTTAAAGAAAAATATAATAAAA